CAATAGTTAAGTAACATGCCCGGTTTCCATATTCTTGACCTCCTCTGCTCTTTGCTCTGGCATTCTTTAATAAATATTTTAGCGTACTTTTTCTGGGAAGCTCTCGAAGGAGGTTCTGGCGGCGTCGCCTCTCTTGCTGGTCTTGAAGCGGCGGATGATGTCTTGGAGTGTGGCTGCCACAACAAAGTACTCCTGCTTCAGACGAAGTTCTTTTCCTTCAAAGAACTAGAACATAAAAAGAGACAGGGCCTTGGGCTTTAGTACAACGGACAGTGTTTTGGGGCGATTTTCAATCCGTCAAACAATAGAGAAGATGATCTTGTGCTTCAAAATATTCAGGCGTCAATTGACACACATCAGTAAAACCAGTAAAATTATGTATTTTGCATGAACACATAAATATGCTGTATTTGCTTCATGAGGAAATATTCAACCTACATTGTCATTGGGATAAAGAACACGGGTGATGTTCTCCGCTAGATTCCTGTCCAGCACGGCCTCGATGTAATCTCCGACATTAACTACAGGCAGATGAGAGATTTCATTTCATCGTTTCTATAATCTACATTTTATATATTAGATGATTATATGTATGCAAATAAAAAACACAACAGGAAAACTACAACATTTGAGTTATTTGGAAACAAAGACTTCTTTATGCAAGGCGCCAATGTTGCAGCAGCTTCCCGCTTCCTTGAAGGTGTTCCTGTGTAAAACGAAGAGGAAACAAGACGGTTTTGCGAAAGTGGGTTTTACGCCAGGAATCAGCACTCACAGTCCCTCAAGTTAAAGTCGTTGGGGGCACGGGCGGACCACAGCCTCATGGTGTTTACGGTGTTGTTCATGTAGCCGGGGATGGGCGTGTCGTAGGGCATCGCCAGCACTACCTGCAGGAATAAAAGGGAAAACAGTGCAACACACAGCAGAGTAAAAACCTGTCATCTTACCCAGAGGCCACTTTTGATTGGAATAAAAATAAATAACAATAGATGTGAGATCCCTGAAGATGATAAAAAATAAAAAAAAACTTTAAAGGAATTCTGAGATTAAATAATATCAATGCAGAGGTGCTATTTATTATAATCAAAATAGCTTAAAGCCAATAACCGGGTTGGACAACAGGCGCTGTGTAGAATGCGATCATCGTTTGGCTCTTTTGGGACATTTTTCTTCGAAGATGCTACGTCCCTTCTTGGGGTTGCTTGGCATCTCTGGATATTTGTGACTCTGTCGTCATTTTTGTGGTCATCCAAACTCATCTCGAGTACCTGAGTGTCGACCCATTTGGAGCCACCTCTCGTCTCCTCTACCCGTCCATAGAAGTGAACGGGCAACATGTACTCTGGACGGGCTTTCTCCCACGGGTTTCCATGCCTCAGCCAGTCATCCGCCTCCTCCACCTACAAAAAGGTCAGACAGGAAAGGATCAAAATGATTCACACATACAACATGTTGGGAGAGCTGGTGTCCAGATAGAATGAAGAGGCAGTTCTCAAAACAGTAATAATGGTGAATAATAGTGTGTATCGTATCAGACTGGTTCATGCAGCACGTTGAGGTAAGAAAAACTAATGGGAATGAACCAAGTTACAGGAGGTAAATAAAGCCCAATCAGGATTATTGGGTTTATATTGCTAAATATATGTGCTAAAAAACAAACAAAAAAAAAAAACGTAAACTTAATGTCCACTAGCAGCAGGGATGAAACAGGTTCATCCACCCTAGTAAGAAAAACAGAGCTTCAATCCAGTTCAGAAGTTCATATTTACACTCAGGTTCTGAACAGCAAACAACCAGGAGAAACCAAAAGGGCTAAAGTCTTTAGTTTGGGGGGTCTGTTATCACGAGATACGCAATATGCATTTCGGCTTGTCATCTGCAACCAACCAGCCGCGGCTCTTGCACCACTGCAGTGTGTGCAAGTTCCTGTTAATGATCATCTTGTAATGTAGTCCGACCTCATTCATGTCTACTTTGGCCCCGCTGCACTCGACAACACGGGTCAACAGCAGAATCCTGAATTTCAAAGTTAAAGATAAGAATGGATCTATGCACTGGGGAGATAACTGGTCATGTTAGTTCAAAACAAAGCTTTTGTCTTTTTAAAAGGTCAAAGAGTTGCTAAATAGCCAACTGCCTTTGAATTAACTGACATTTGCAGAAAAATATATCGGTGTCTGCGGTTACCTGCCAGCCGTCTCTTATCTTCTGGTTAAAGATTCCATATTCATATCGAATGCCGTAACCGTACGCTGCAAGACCCAAGGTGGCCATGGAGTCCAAGAAGCATGCTGTGTGCAAAACCAAGAAAAAATAATAATAATGTAATTGACATAAAAACAAAAAGACGCTGATGTGAAAGACTGAATGACAGTTAGTGGCGTAATGCCCGTTTTGTTGCAACATTTCTGTGGCTGCCTGTTGCTTTAAACAGGCGACCGCAGAGGTATTTGATGGAGAATTGCCAAAATATAATAGGAAATGATGATAATGGAGTATTGTTGTGTGAGAATAAGTGTTCCTTTTCGTATTTGTTGTTGACCAAGTTTGAAAGCTTCTCCATTTCTTTCCCTCTGCAACTTTGAATCGTGTTAAAGAGGTGAAATAAAATAAAAAGATAATCTCTATCGGTCTCCCTCAGGTACAAATATCTGTTAGTATCCCGTTGTACCTGCGAGCCGGCCCAGGCCTCCGTTCCCCAGACCTGCATCCTCCTCCATCTCCTCCAGCTCCTCCATGTCCAGGCCGAGCTGCAGCACGGGGGAACACACAGGCCTACTGTTGACGCGGTTATGAACACTAGCACAGTCATTAGGAGTATTAAATATGGGAGTCTGACCTGGTAGATGGCCTCATCGCAGGCGTTCTGCAGCCCCAGGTTGATCATGGTGTTTTGGAGCGTCCTGCCCATGTAGAACTCCAGAGACAGATAATACACCCTCTGAACATGAGAAGAAAAGGGAAGAAAATAGCTTCATGTGCACGAGCTTCCTCTTTTCAGAGATTTTTGGGATCCAGAACAAATATTTGTGTTATACGTTGTGAAGGTGCAGAAAAAGCGGTAAATAGATGAAAATGGAAGGAGCAAACATTTCCCTGGCAGAGTAAACATGATGCAATGACCCCACAAAGAGCCTCTCGAACCACAGAAGAACATTGCTCAAGACTACTTTCAAAATGTTTTAAATAAATAAAATATATACAAAATGTATGCAAGGACCCTCCTTAGAATAAATGTGTTTTTTTTCATCCAAGACAAAGTAGATACGACCTAAACTGCAGTGAGCAGAATTTATTCCATTTGTATTTTAAATTATTATTATTTTTTTTAAACATTGCAAACGTCGTCTACATGTGAAACATTCACATGTCTGGTGGGTATTGACCGTCTGAAATAAATACCAAAGGCTCGCCCATGTAAGATACATTTCCTGCGCTCCAAATTCCGGGATGTGCCAAACTTTTTCTGCATCTGAAGAGCAGCGCGGCGGGAACCTTTACCTTCGGGTCCGTCTCATAGTAGAACTGCTGCGTTCGGATCCATCGGCCCACCAGGTGGTCCCTCACCGTGTGCGCCAGGGCGAAGTAGTAATCCCGGGGGGTCGCGATGTTTCGGTCTTTCACCAGAGTGAAGTGCAGGTGGCGATTGAAGCCCTTCTTCAGCTCTGCAACATTCTCCACTCCCACGATCCCCCTGATGCTGATCTGCTTGCGCTTCTCCTGGTCGGTGAGTGGGGTCGCCATGCTCGGGCCGGCAGCTCTGTCCTCGGGAGAGAGGGGGGTCTCAAAAGGCGACTAGTCCCGGCTGGAAGTGAAGTTTCGGCGTGAGATGGTGGCACGTTTTCACGCAGCAGTCTCCTCCTTTTGTGGCTTTTCATTGGTGAGTGGGTGGGGAGGGGGGAGGGAGTTTCAGCCGGCCGGCCCCCTGCTGAGCAGCGCGAGGCGGCGCACGTAGACAGATGGGAAGGACGGCACCGGTTTAACAGGTGAATATTTAGACGTGCAGGCAGAGGCCCACCTGCACCTGCAGCCCCCCTGCTTGACCCACAAAAAATAATAAAAAAATAGGTCAACATTTGTGTTTTTTGAAATATGGAATGTACCGTGTGATATTTGTAAAGATGATTTCCTTTACTGAACGTTCTCTTCACTTGCATGTGTCAGCAAGTCATGAAGCACTTTGGCCAATTTAAGCTAATTAAGATTCAGAACTATTGTTTTGAATAAAATGTGTATTGTCATTCTTCATTCTTCTATATATATATAATTTTATTTTTCATTTTCAGATTTTCAGATTCAAATCATCAAATCATCTTCAAATCTCACCTGAAAAGGGGCGTGTAATCATGAGTGACAGTTTAAGGCCAAAAAACATCCTCTGCCGTGTTGCCTTCAGGAAACGTAGGAACACATTTATACATATATACAGGGGTCGTCGTGGTGCAGGGGGTAGAGTGGGTGCACTGGGAACCGCAAGGTTGGTGGCTTGAGTCCCGACTGCCCAATGTCTCAAGTCGAAGTGTCCCTTCGACAATTTCCCATCTACTTCTGAATGTCTGAAAATGGGGATGATTGAATAAAAATGGCTGTAATTCAGAAACCTTTAATTGGGTGGTTTTGTATCTATTAAATTAAAGCGGAGAGTCTACACTTCAATCAAATATTGTGCGCTTCAGTTCAAATCAAAGGGGGGACACTTAAAGAGGCAACCATTTAAAAAACGGTGTCACGGTCCAAATACTTGTTGCTCTGATTGTACATCTATCGTTAGATGAAACACAGGTAAATAGATTTATACATAGACACTAGTTTCATATATACATGCAATGATGGCTTGAGAGGACCTTTTAATGGGACACCTAAAACATTTTACGTGATTTTGCCCCATAATTAGACAAATACCAGCATGTAAAAGGGGTTTTATATGATCTCCACATTGTGTACTTTGATTCACTGTCGTGAGACAGTAAAGTACAGACAGACAGACAGACAAAATGGGACCTTGTTGACACCTATTTATTGAATATATACACATACAAAAAAAACACAGAGGCTCATTTTACACTTCATTTCATCATAAGAATAGCAGTAATATGGTAATGATGGACGTATAATCGTGACAATCATAACAATTCTACTGGGTTAAAATCAAATATGTAACAATGTTAATTTCATGTTCATAATTATCCAGAGAAATATTTCACCATCATTGTAAATAATAACAGCAGAATGACATTCCACCTCAGATCAAACAGGTCAGAAAGAATTACTTTGGAGGTAAAATTTAAAATAACACGCGCACACACACACACACACACACACACACACACACACACACACACACACACACACACATTTGTGTATGTACATTTGGATATATAACACCCAGTGTCGCCCAGCGACTGTGTGTCCTTAATTAATTCATAAAATTCTGACGAGGCCGTATGATGGACTGTGAATTATCCAAGTTTAATATCCATAAAGTGTATTTGGCTGGTTTAGAAATAATAAATGTTACAATCACATACTTTGTAAAATAATCCCCCTCATATGTCCAGTAAAGAAACACACAATTACATGTCAAAAAATATGACTACTTATTCAACCCAAAAAATGTTCAACGAGAATATATTTGTTTGTTGAAAAGAAACAGACGTGTGTCATCTCCTACTGGACATTGTTTGGATGAATTAAACCCATTTTGTTTATTTGACCTGGAATCTGGGGTTGTGTAATGCTGCGATAATGGCTGCACTCGTCTCTGCATGACTCAAAGTTCAGTGAGCTTCTGCTCAATGGGCTGCTTTTGTAGTTTATTATTATAATGAGGACCGGACAAAAGGCCTCCCTTCAAAAACCACCAATTAAATATTGCATAAACCAAAGCTTGAATCCAGCCTTCAGCAAAGGCCGGGCAACTTGGTGAAGGCTGAATTAGTTTGGTTTATTACCGTCAGAACACATGCGCATATCATACCGAAAAATATAAAGTTTACTGTGTGCAGCCATTTTAGCAATCATACATCAATAATAGATTATTTACAATCACTATTAATCCAGGCGAAATACAATCACAGAGGATTCATGAAGTTAAGAAAGACACCTGACCGTAATCTTCCCTCCGGTACTGCGGTTATTATATCCACTATAAACATGGTTATTGTTGACTTTGCCCTTTTGCCGTTAGAAAAAACACATAGCAGCAAGTGAAGTCAGGCATCGCAGATGTTACAGTTGCCTCTGCTGAAGCAATGGATCTAGTTTGTAGCAAAGTTTTCATAACTCTTGTTGGTACCAAAGAGGGGAAAAGGCACATCCATGAAGCTCACACAGAAGAGCCCCTCGTGTGCTCGACATGTACGGTACTTCCCAGGGAGACGATGCACTGGGAAACGTTTCAGGGCTTCTTGGAGGGCAACAGTTCCCTCAAACTGACTTATAACATTCTGACTACTTTTTCCATGTTGATGGGTCGGTCCACCACTTTGGTCCAGTCAAGAATATCTCAAAAAAAATATTCATGGTGCCCAGAGGATGAATTTTCTCATTTCTTCTCCAGCGTCACCAAGACTCAAGCATTTTTGGTTTTAGGTGACAACTATCTAATGAATTGACAGGCTGCTTTGCAGTGACTATCATTGCTCCTACAGGATGAATCCTACAGGCTTTTACTCACTTATCCTGAGAAATGTCCCAACGACGACTCAACCAATCAGCTAAAAATGTTCCACTGACATTCATGCTCCACAGAGGATGAACCACAGTGACTTTGGTGATCGCCTGACTTTTACGTGATGGTCACGTTTGTGGTTTTGAGTGAAATGTCTCATAACTGTTGGCTGGAATGCGATGCCATTCGGTTTGCTCACTCGCGCCCCCCACAGGTTGTAAGTGGGGATACATTTCATTTCATTTAAACACTTTATCACTAAACTACCTGCAAAACCTAAGACACTCCCCAAAACAGCCTGGCTGTATTTTGCGTGCAATGCAAATTGGCAAATGTTAGCATACTAACATGCTAAACTAAAATGATGGCAGAAGTAAACATTATGGACGTCAAAGGACAGCATCACAGAGCCGCCTGCATCGCTGAGTTGTTGCCTGTTGAGGAGGCTGTTGCTCAAACGTATCGCCACAACAGCATCCCAGTACATCATCACCTTCCTGCTGCTTTACAACCTGCTCTCAGAACCAACTCACACTACATTGTCAAAGCAACACAAGTCTTTCCTTCTCTAATAACTATACATCAAACAAAAGAACAAGGATGACTTCTCATTGGAAAAAGTCTAAACATCTATAACTTACCGAGCTATACACCTCTTTGCAATAGATCATTTAAATAACTTACAAAACTACCAGGATTCAGTCACCCACAGTAAAAAAGCTAGAATGAAGCGAAGCTGCTCTCATTCAAAGAGCTTCACAGTCATCACCCTTAAACCATTTACAACACACTTCAACGCACAGAATCGCCTCTTTTTATGACCCACTACACCAAAATCCATTCCTCCTGTCTTTAGAGCTGCACTGCAGAGAAAGGCGGCATGTTTATTTTTTTTTTACCGATGATACGCAAGGATCACACGAGCGGAGCCACTAAGAGAAGCGACTCACACGCGGACGAGGACACGACAGTGCTGGGAGTTGGCGATCGTTGCAGCTGCTGAGCAGTCCGGACACATCTGTCTGGGCCTCTCGCACGAACACGGAGGAGACGGCGTCTCACGGCCTCTGTGGCGCTTTAAATGTGGGAGAATTGATGGCAGGAACAGCAACATACAGGAAATTGTGATGAAATAAAAAGAAGAATAAGATGCGTGTTGATCGTCTGATGGGGGGCTTCTTTGTCTAAATCAACATGTTAAACATGAAGCCGTAGCTGACAGGCAGCTTAGCTCCGCTAAATCACTACAAACCGACTGGAACAGCTGATCTGGCTTCCTCCAAAGGTAATAAAATCCATCTACCAGCATTCCTAAAGCTTACAAATGAACACATTATATTTAGTTTGTTAAAAATCTAAATGTAAAAATGGGACGTTATGGCTTTATTAGCTGTTACGTGACTAGTTTGTACCCTTAAAGCCACAACATATTGTTTGTACACTTCCCTTGAACTTTTAACTCACTGCTTCCCCCGGTTCCCATTCTTCATGCTCACGGACTAACGGTTGCCTCACATGTAGCCTACAAACACCACAGAGGTGTCAACCTTCTCATCTAACTCTCAAACCCCCATTTATGAAACTTCAAACTAAAGTAGATATTAACTCTGGACATAAATCAGGAACTATGAGGAGGACTCAACGGGACATCAACCCTACGGATTATCCGTAAAACGTCGAATTACAAGTTACAGATCCCTAAGCAGGGCCCGTGTTTGTTGTGCGGGTGGTCCAAGTGTCCACGGTTTAGGCATCTTAAAGGCATGGCTCAGCACTGGATGGACTGCAGAGAGTGGTGGGGTCAGAGGGTCGGGGGACCAGAGGAGTGTGATGGTGGGATCATAGTCATTGACAGGCAGCATGGACCCTGGGTGATCCTGCAGAGGTTTTAGCACACGGAGCCAGTGGGATCTGCCTCCCCGGCGGTGTAGAAATCAGGGATGGGAAGACCAGTGTGCAGTGTGATCTGAAGAAAAACACATGGACATATAAATCATGGTAAACAGGTATGTTTCTGTCCACAGGTGGAGCTGCTGAGCTATTTTCTCAAAGAGTGAAATGTTTTCACTAGCTGAGAGCAATAAGAAATGCAAAGATACTAAATGTTCTTGTGTCTTTGAGGCGTCCTCTTTCACAGTTTAATCTTCCGAGCCCATATTTGTATTACTCGGGGAACATGTCTTATGAATAATAACTGCAGTAATTTCTCTACGAGTAAAAACCTCTGTTTTGGCCTGCAGCACCGCTCCAGGAGGGAGAGCCAGGGACAGCTAAGCAACTGCACCCCTGGAGCAAAGACTAATACAAAAACAAGTACAAGTTTAAAAAAGAAGACATGTTGCCATTCTGTGCAGGACTCTCTTATGGGACACAATCTGCAGTCTCCGCTTGTTGCCAGCAAACGGGTCCCGGCTAAGAGATGCTCTGCTGGCTCCACGCACAGTTTCTTAACTCCAGTCTGTCTTTACAGTGTTAATGCTAAGCTAGGCTAACAAACATAGACATGAGAGTGGAATCAATCTTTATAAGTAATCTATTCCTTTACGTGAGGGACAAGAAAAGCAGAAATTAGGATGTTATGTAATTAATTTCTCAATCGTACTATTCTGGTATGGAAGTGTAGCCACAGTCCATATAAATAGAATATTAAATCCGCACCTGGACGTTTCGGTTGAGGCTGATAGCGGGGTAATAGACGCCCTCCAAGGCTTCAAAAGCCACCGGACCCTGCTGCTCATCGTTGATAAGGAAGATGAGGATCCCGCGTGTGAAATCCAGCAGAATTCCTATTGTAGCTCCTTTACCGATGCCGCCGTCCGTCCTGCACACAGAGAAAAGACTAGTGTTTCTAAAGTAATATCCTGCAAATATTTAACCTGCCATCCTCAAATGGCAATCAGCGTGTTTGTGGCGCTGACAATAAGGTAATAGCAAATTAGATAATATTTAGGGTAATTATAAGTTATTGCTTTTGCAATACATCTACTTAACAAAATACACAAATTATCATTATTTATTATTTTAAGTCGATGGCTTCTTTTCAGATTACCATAAGATTTAAAAATATACAAACATCTTCTGAAATAATAAAACATTGTTAATGATTGCCAACCTCCGACAACACATTAAAAAAAGCTGTGTCATGTGTTAGATGTTTATGAGTTAACAGTTACACCAAAGAGACAATGACCCTCTTAACCTCTCATATGATTTCATTTAAATACCTTTTAAGAGTACAAAATAAAAATGGGGAGCGGAACGTTCTTTTCATCTCACAGTCATGAAGTGACCCTTTGGACCCCGAGGTCGGACATGACTGGACAAAACTATGAAACTCTGGATCAAAGAGCTGCAAAAGTAACATGCACATTAAGTTGTTGTAGCTTATTGGTTGTTTTACTTGCAGGTTTGTGCTTTTGACGAAATGATTAGTTTGGATCAGTTCAACCAAAACACAAAAAGAGAAATATGTCATTCAACTTTATTTGTGATGATTGAATTAATCATTTGGAAAAGAAGAAAAGAAGAAAGAAAAGTTTAAGCTGAGTAGCTGTTTCTGGAGCTTCCATCTGCCTCCAACGGTCTTTATTGGTGGACCACAAACACAAATATTCCCATGTGATTAGTTGAATGATGAACCTTCATTGGTGATGGAGTATTCCTAAACTGTTGGACTGGTGCTTTAATAAAAGATCTGATTAATTTTCCGAGCACTGTGACGTTTCGCACGCCTCTCAAAACATGCCGGCGAACGCTGTATTCGTGCTGGACGAGGACGCGCGTCCCAGTGGACCAGTTACCTGTTGGTGTGCGAGTTGTTGTGCATGAACCAGGAGCGGTTGTTGTCCACGTACATGGCCCAGGCCTTGTCGTCCTTCCCCAGCATCACGTCCTTCAGCACGTCGCCCCTAGCGATGCCGAAGGCCGGATCCGGGTGGTTGTCATAGCGATCGACGGTCATTTCCCAGTAATGGACGCCGCGGGAGAAAGCAGAGTTACCCATAACCACTCTGTCGTCGTAGCTGTTGCAGGACACCGTCAGGTTGTCGTTGGAGAGGATGATGTCCTGGTGAGCGGATGCCGGGTCAAAGGTGAACCAAGCGACTGTTCACACAAACACATGGGAAGCGTTACTCGCGCTGTCGTTGAGCATCAGTGACGTCACTGACTGCAACACCTGATGATCGTGACTTTACAAAGGTGACATGGATCTACGGGCTGGAGGTCGGATAAGTTGGAACTACAACTAAGAACTGGAGCAGGGAAAAGATTACTATTACTATTAAGATTAACAATTCTTAGTATCATACTCTATAACTTAATCTATGACTTAAACACTAAAACCTTAATAATTTGTATTATAAAATCCAACCTGTGTCAGACAGTCTGCAAATGATTAATGACGAATGATCTGTTTTCACCGGCTTGGAGAAACCACACGGGCGAGACGACGGTTTTACTCATCTAGATGATCAGAATCAGTTCAGCCAAAATACAAAACTCAAAATGCAGCTTGTTCACCACATGAACTTAATAGGATGCTAATATCTTAACGTTGTGCTATCCCAAAGTAGCAAACAACAACAACCAAGAAACATTTGATACAAACAAAATCAATTTCATGTTAATTAAACATGTTACCCTTTAACTTCCCGTGCGCTCTTGCAACACATCACACTACAAGCCGGTAGATCAAAGTCTAATTAGTTTGCCAACTGTTTGACTCAGTTAATTTAAAAGCTCTATACTGTACCCAGAGAAATATGGGAGCCGAACAGATGAGAGGTTTGTGCTCGCTGTATGTGGGCTGCACATGACTTGCTTGCTTCACTATGTGCAGTAGACATTCATTACATAGCTTTATTTCCCAACGGGAATAAAAGAAAAGACATTTATTAGAAGCCTGTATTGACCGTGCAGCCCACGGAGCAACAAACCCGCCCACCTGCTGGTTCGACAGTGAAGGACTGAACTGATGACACAGGCAACGGCAGCGAGGGGGTCAGAGTGGAAACAGGCGCCCATACCTGTGCCTATAGACTGAATATCACATGGAGGGAGTCCAGCTGAAACATGAAATGAAGAGGAAAAAGAGGGGAGGAGGAGAATGTAGCGAATCAGTGAAGCAGAGTGCAGAGCAGGTCGGGGAGGGATGGAGGAGAGAGTAAAAAGCAGGTTTCATCAGGGAAGCTGCTTCAACTCAACGGCCAAAACACCACAGAGGCTGAAGTCCAGAGCGGGGAGATCCTAGAAACAGGGTAAAAAATAACAAGCATGGCAACAAAGATGACGGAGGAAGGTTCCAGTCCGCGTGAAGGGTGTCACATCTCTGCAAAAACATGCGAGTGGTTAGATCTGAGCAGAAAGCTGCTGAGTGCTCCGTCTGGGCCTTTCAGGTCCACTTACAGGAGACAAGCGCCCCTGTGTGCAGAGCAGCATTGAACTAATGGGAAAGCGAGCACACAAGTGGATTATACACCACGCAGCTGCTGCGGGACGCACCTGGTTTAAAAGCATCAGCACATCTTCAAACAGAATTCACATCCTGCTTTTGAGTTAAAACACTGCAAGTGACACATTAGAGGCTTTTACGGTTATTATTTTTGTGTTACATCAGAGGGAAAAGTGGGCGAGGAGGTTTCATGTCGGGTCGTTGAAATCCTTTTGAAACACATAATTAAAAGCTCAAATGCATAGTTTAAAATTTGAAATAGCAAAATAATGGAGCAAGAAACTTCCTCTAAATATCCTATAAAGATTTTTTTTTGTTCAAGGCATTTTGACTTTTTAAGATCAAATCAAGATTTATTTTAAGTCTGTGATCTCATTAAGTGCCAATAACTACAGAACTATATTACTAATGTCTGTTGTACCCGGGATGAAATACCTGCCAGCTGTTTGCCAAAACACAACATGTTGGAATCATCACAAAACAAAAGGGTTGAAACAAGCTGTGAAACACATGAAACATTAGCAAACACGTGGCAGACATTTGGAGAAGCAAGAGACATAAAACACAACAAAGTGCTTTTAGAGTTGACAGTAGAGATGTTGATCCAGCTGCGTTCTTCTTTTGTGATAGTTTTATAATATTTAATATGCTATAGTGCTGCTGACATGTCAACATAACCGCTGTAGTTATATAGCGTGTTGTCGTGACATGCAACGAGATTCTCATTACTTTAGGGTGAGGAATAATCATAATGATAATATATGCAATGGTTATAAATCTTATACCATTAAAACCGTATCAACGATATCCCTATTTTTTAAATGTCTTTTATTATGAAGCTAAAATGTGTCCCGAACATTAAAATAGTTATTTATTGTGGCTGGATCACTTTTTCTTTGTGAACGTTGAAAGTAATAGAAGTTGACCAGTACTGGGCTTTTGATGCCAATTGGACGAAAGTTTGATCGTCTTCATTTTGAGGAAATTTATTTTCTCCCAGATTACGTTTGTTTTTGGCATTTCACAAATAAAATGATGGTCATAGTTTAGGCAGGGGTGAGGACTGCAGGTAGAAGGTCAGAGACACACAGGATTGTCCCCCACGTGACCACTGTTCAAGTCCTGTGTGAAACCAAACATCAATGTCACCTCATACAACACAACAAATACGATTGTATAATGTTAAATTAAAACGTTTTCACTACCACACAACCAAGTAGTTTTGTTATAATTTACAATGTTAACCACATGCTTCTTTAACCCAAGAGAAAATATATTCTTATTTGTACATGAATGCCATTTTCTATGGGACATGGTTGTGAATTACACGTCTAGATAATAAAGAAGCCTGTTGAATCATTTCTTAGATAAACAACTTACTTTCCTCGTATTTCTTATTTCAAAGAGTTTTGACTGAGATTAATTCCCCTAATTCCCCTTATTCTGGATTCCAAATTTGTGGAAGCTGACAATCTTATTCCCAATACTGAGTGAAGATCCGTTGAATAAATGACTGCGTTCTTCCTCACTGGCAAACAGTAATTAGCAGCAGGAGGAGAGGAGCTGATGCTTGACGTACTCTCAGAGGTCTGCATGATCAGCGTCTTGCTGTACTGGCCCACTCCGCTGCCATTGAAGGCCTTCACCCTGGACTTGTACGTGCTGTTGAAGTGGAGCCCGTCCACCGTGCAGATGGTCTCCGTCCCCACGTACACCTCCTGTAAAGACACGCAATGCTTCCTGTTAAGCGGGCAGATACATCAAACTCGGGAATTATGACATTATGAGGGATCTGCTTCCTTTTCAACCCGCACAGCTCTGCCCCCGAAGGAGCGTCCCCGCTGGGATTCGATCGCGGCGAGCGTAACGAGCGGCAGCGCGGGTTTGAACAACTGAGCGTGGGCGCGGCGGCCCACGCCAGGGTATAAATAGACACGGGGGACATGCAACTCGCCAAGCTCAGTGTGGCGCTGCGTGGGCGAGCCCCAGTGAGTCACAGGAGAAATAGAAAACCTCCCTCGCAATTTGGAAAGCCAATGGCCGCTTGGCCAAAAGTAGCCGGGGATAAAAGGCGCGACCTGAGATGATTTAAATTCAAGAGACGGGACAGGCTGGAGGAATAAAACAGGCGCATGTGTTAAGCTCTACGCACAGTATACACAATGCTCTTTCGCACAATGGGGAGCTCAAGGAGCAATTAAGGACGGAGTATCTTGCTGTAGACATGCAGACAGGATAATCCGATAATCCAACACGTGATCTCTCAATGAGTGAGAGACACTTACATCTCCATGTAGTCAGTAGAAACACATCAAATCATATATTGATATTAAAACATTAACATATTTAGATTAAAACCTCCATTTTGTACCAGGAGAGGGGATTGAACCCACAAGTCCATTGGCTCTTAAATCGGTGACGCTGATACTTATTTCCACTCTGATAAATGGAATCGAATGCTCACAGTCAGCAGTCAGGCGGGTTGGATGTAAATGATCGTTATGCAACAGTTGTGATTGAGACGAGGGCGTGAAGGCCCTCTCAAACTGGCAGCATGCGTTACAGACGAGAGACTGAAGGTCAATGGCTGCTTTTTCTAAATGAAAACACCGGCTGTCTGTACGAACAGCTGCTGGACCGCTCCCTCCCAGCAGGAGCGCATTCAGCGGATGCTCGGAGTTTAGAAGAGTTCGCCTCTGTTCCTGCTAATTTAGCATCACACTGCACAAGTGGACATTCTACAGATCTATCACGTTTAACAAGACGTGGTGGTTGCCCCTGCAGTGGTCCTGCTGTGCGCCTGGCTCACTACTCACAGTTACTTGAATCATTTCTGTCATAGGAATTGCATGTATTATATATTGTTCATTCTGTACACATGGCATCCATTGTAGTCTGTCCATCCCGGGAGTGGGATCCCTCCTCTGACGTTCTCCCTAAGGTTTCTTCCCTTTTTTCCCTCTTGGAAGGGTTTTTTCATTTTTGGGGGAGTGTTTCCTGTGCCGATGGAGGGTTTCGGGGCAGAGGATGTTGTATGTGTACAGACTGTAAAGCCCTCTGAGGCAAATTTGTAATTTGCGATTATGGGCTATACAAAATAAAATGAATTGAATTGAATTGAATTGAAAAGTTTAAAAGTGAATAAGTCCAATATTCAAACAGAACTGTCTCCACCAAAAACCAAATAGTCCAATAGTTTGATTATTATCTAAAGGTTTGGTTGTCTTTTAGCGAAAGGACCCGGTTACTACTTTTGGACATGATGTCGACCAATTTAATTATGTGTCACCAGCAGTTTGCAAGGAACTGATGGCGATGTTAATGAGCTTTGAGAAGATGGAAACCACTTGGGAGACGACAGAGATTGAAAGCGGCTCAATTGGGATTTTGTTGGGCTTCATTAGCCCTTTAAAACCCAAACTGTTCTTCTGAGATTACCTAAACTTCAGAAAGTGGTGAGATCTTCCACATTGATTGTTGTGAGAGGACGCAGGCCAGCTGGTCTGCGTGTCTGTCGCGGTCTGACACAACGGGGTCCGGGGGGTTTAAGTTGCCGTTACAACAAAGCAGCGGCCTCGATGTATAGAGAACGGGGGTCTCGGGTGGATTACACGCTGAACCTCTGAGGGAGTATAAATACGGCTTTTGATCCCAGATCACACTTCCTGTGGGATCATCCCCGCTGAATGCCGCATCACAGACCCTTTCTCCCAGCGCCGTGTCACTCGATGCCTCGCCACAGTGTGTCACATGACCGGCCCTCATGCCACTCAGAGCCATACGAGAGCGCAATCGAGGGGTTTCGGGGACAAAGCGTTGCTTTCACATTCCCCGGGCTGAGCCGGCGTCCTCCCCGGCGCCAATGAAGGCGTCTTTGTTGAGAAAGACGCGGGCGCTGCTCCGTAAAGGTGAATTATCACTCTAACTGGTGCGTTTTTTGTGTCTTTTAATCTAAATGGGAATCCAACAAAGGCCCCCTGTTGAACTTTCACGTGTAAAAAGTTGGTCTTTGAATAAAGTCGGCGTATAAATCCCCCACCGGAGGAGACAAACGGGTACCTGCGGAGGGGAACCTACCCTGAAAGGCCCCATGTTTCCATCGTCCAGCTCCAGGATGTATCCCTCCACGGCGATGGTGGTGAGCGGTGGCTGTTTCCATGACAATGTGGCGCTGTTGTTCTGGGTGCAGCATTCCTCCAGCTGGAGCATGGGAGCAGCTGGGACTGAGGAGGGGAGAAGCACGGCACCATCACAGTACATCTCTACCAAAACACACACACGTGACATGACTGCCGCTGTGCACCGACGCCTGCTCCACGTTTGTAAAAAATACCAGTGTACAGAAATACATTTTAGAAAGCTACTGTCTTTATCAGGATCAGGAATCAGGAAACATTTATTGCCAAAATATGTCATACATACAAGGAATTTGACTTGGCGGTTGGTGCGTGAGTAATAAAATAAAATAAAATAAAATGCTAATGCTAAGGGTTAGTAGAATAAGACTATGGGTTAGTTTAAAATAAAATAGTAAAGTTAGAAATATTTAAAAATTAGAAAATAAAATGCACTAGCGAACAGGAAGTGACAAAAGTGACGAGTGAAAAGTGACAATCACAGGTTTTACCATTAACATTTAAACAATTTTCATAGTAAAACCAAAGACACGAGGGCTCTGCTCTTGTATAAATTCCTCAGATATCTCCTCGGTTATACCTTTCATCTGGACAAAGTCCAGCTGGTGGATGGTCTGCAGGAGGGGTCCGCTGTCCAGGGTGAGGTCGAAGTCGCTGTTCATCCTCGGGGTGAGGGTTCCCTTCCCCCACTGGCCCTCCGTCACGTGAACCCTCCGGATCAAAGCATCGGAGATCTACAAACAAATGGACTAAGTGTTGCTCACCAGTGACAACAACTGTACAGGGAACCAGAAAACACCATAGATTTCCCCCCAAAAATGGAAATAAATGCGGATCAGCTGGAGGAGCAAAGCTGGGAGTGAAGATGTAAAGATGTGTGCAACCAAGCAAATAATCCAATTCATGTAAAGAATAACATCTAGTGAGGATTAGCACCTTTTATTCAATGTCTTTTTCCAGGAAACTTCCATGGAAATGACAATGGAATTATTAAGAAACCTCATTCAACCTGTTTAAATATACATTAGTGACATAAATACCAAACCTGTATTTCTGCCATAAATATTAAATAACAACGTCAATTGTTTAAATGTGATTCTTAAAGGTCTCTGAACGTAAGCACATACATTGATGTACTGTGATACTGTGTTTGCTCATCCTTTCATCAGATTCAGTCACGAAGTAAACACAGAAGTCATACAACTATTGAAGGTTTGAAGATGTCAAGTAAGTTTCATTCTAACGAGCAGAAATTGCTCAGCGGAGGCTGTGAAAACGTCTTCCGTCAACAGAGCGGATCTTCGGCTGATGGGCCATAAATGTTCAAATCGAAGCGTTAAAACATTTATTTCATTGTGATCTGCTTTATTCATGCAAATTGAGACATGAAAGGCTCAAGTTGGCAGAACGAGTAAGTTGTTGTGCATCGTACCTGCAGGAAACCACTGGGGTCATTCTCCTTGATGACCTCCAGGCAGTACTCCATCAGCCCCGTGGTCTGACGCAGCTTCACCGTGCAGTGGGAGATCTGATCCCGAACCACCTGGGGACAAAAAGAAAAGAGAGGATGATGGAGAAGAAGACTAGAAACACCCACGAGAAAATCCAGTTTGGCAAATGGAATGCAACAACAATAACAAGCATATACTGGAGATAATCATATGCTAATTATAACCCTTTCTGTGTAATCACTCTCAAATGGAACATGAAGAAAATGCACAGAGCGGGTTTAATAAAGTGCGCAAGATGGAGATGCAGAGGGGAGCAATTATGCAGAAGGTGTCAGAAATGTTGATGAATCTGGAAAGGAAGGAGACAACGGAGAGTAGTGGAAAAGATGGATGGATGCTTGAGGCAACTAAATATGACAACAATGTAGACAGAGAAAGAAAAGATGGAGGACGGAAGGAGGGGTCTGGAGAACACAGATTAAAAGCTTGTTACGGGATGAAGAGAAGCCGAGTGGGCCGAGCACCAGGAATACCAATAATGAGATTAGCAGCAGGATTGAGTCATTTTTCCCTCCTGAGACTTCGCACACGGATTGAGGGAGGAAGAGGAGGCCGAAGGGACGTCTGCGACCTGTTGTTGACGTCAATGGAAGGAGAGTGACATGTTGTTTTCACGCGCTCAAGAGGGTTGTGAGCGATGTCGGCGGCGACATGAGAGAGGAGGAGACGCTCTGAAATCCTGTATGAGCAGCGACACACTAAAAACATGCACAGTTCTGGAATTCTCTGCTGTCAGTCGTACATCTTCTGCCTCAGGGAAGTCGGTCCTTCAATCATTTGTTCCAGCAGCCCGCCCCCATATTCATGATGAATCTTCCCATAAACTGATCTGAACGAAAGGGAGCAGCTTCAAATCAATAAGTGAGATGCTCTTTATTGCACATGAACCAGCGTATCGTATTGATTTGATTGGATATTAGATGCATAGATACTCCTCTCTACTGGCGACTCCCCACAGAGCTCTGTAGCTCTACAGTGTCAAACAAACAGAGGTGCTGGACCAAGGGTTGCTAGGTAACAGAAACTTCACTGTTGCTATCCGAGGGGCTGAATGGAGAGGAAAATCCTGTTTCTGCAAACCGAAAGTACACGAAGATGATTTTGTGATGACTGCAGTCACAGCATCAATATGCAGGTCTTGCACCACTGACACTCAACAAACAGTAAAGACTTTTATGCAGTAATAGATTATTAAGTGTATTGTATGTAGCATTACTGTAAGATGCATGTAGCAGGGAGGGCTGCAGCAAGGCTGCAAACAGATGAAAGAAATAGAAGTGGGCAATATAGATAAAACCCTCTATGAGTTTTGTGTTGCAGGAGCTTTATATAATATTAATCATTCAATCAGGAGACCCATTTTGGGCTTGAGACTGAAACCTTGACGAATCCCTTTCCCCTCATAAATCTATACGGCAGTTTTGCGTACTGAATATAAACGTGTGCACATTTTGATTGCGGGCAAACTGGCAGCATCATCTTTCATCTAGCGGTGACACCGACACAGCGATGCATCATTTAACCAGGTAACATTCAGTTTACTTTCATCTCAAATGACCTTTTGGGCTCCGCAGCAAGAGTCTGTGACGAGCTGGAATAATCACTTTGCTTTTTCCGTTTACAGTTGAGGGCACAACATCATGTTTAAGGTGCTTCATTCAAACCTCAGAGAATTGAACCACCTCGGTTCCCGGTTTGGTTTGTTTGGGAGGCGGACTGTTTTAACTGACCGCAGGCGCTTTCCAACCAACTTGAAAATAAAGATTTTTACTTCTGAACCACTGTTGTTTACTCATCTCCTCCTCATGTGTGTTCATGCGCTCATATCTGCTGGAAAACCAGGGACGGTTTGCAAACTAATGTTGCACGGTGCATCGATAGCGAAAAGGTGCCGCCGTACCAGTACGTTAAAAACGATAAATATATAATAATATCATAAGGTCATATAATCAATCTTACGATGCCAACATGTCGTTTTCATTAATATCTTATAATACTGATATTTGTTAACCGTTCAAAAAGCTGGGCAGGAAAAAGCTGGTAAAGAGGGAAGTATGCAGATGATTTTTTTATTACTATTATAGATGAATATAACAGTATTGTATTAATACTGTATCAGGTATTACGATATTTATGGCAGGGATTGTATCGACGTCATTATTTTAGTACCGTGACCCGACTACAAACGAGTCAATCCAGTTTTTTTAAGTTACAACCTGGACCGCAAAAAGCAGACTTTCAAGTAAATGAATATTTACAGAGACACGGGAAATCATTTTGTAATTATTCCCGCTTTTAGTGCTGTAATCAATCAGAGCAGGAGCGTGCTTAAGCACTCTTCCTACAGTGAGGGGAAGAAATCAAATTCCCCCCTCTGATGATTGAGTTTATGTTTCTCTGGCTGGGGGCGAAACCCTCCCTGCTGTGTCAATCCACAGCCCTGCAGTGGAGTTTCTCACTGCCGTCGCCGCCTGTTTAACAATCAGACCTCTCTGCACGCAGCTGGAATCTCAATCTCTCCATTCGTAGAGGACAATGTGCACGCGGGGATTTTGCAGTACATCTTTTATATCAAATCTTGTCCTTTTCCCTGTTCCTCCCGTCAACACTCAGTGCCTGAAATCTGCTCTTTTTTCAGCTCCGGAAGAAGATTAAAAAAACGGACGATCGGTTCACCTGAATGAAACACAAAAGGAAAAGGACGGCAGCAGCTTGAGGTGGGAGGAGGAAACTAAGCATCACGAGAGAGGGGACAAGTGGGGGGGGGTGAATTGAAAGGACAGCGGTAGAGGGCAGAGCGGGCCGTGCAAGTGGGCCACAGAACCTGCAGAGAGGAACGGAGTCGCGTGACTCCTGTGGCTGTCATGGAACGGCGAGTAAACACGGCGTCACAGAAGCTCGACAGCAAAACAAAAACCATCCCAGACAAGTGCTGAAATAATCGTTTTCTTTACAAATATTATTCATGTTAGAAAAAGCAGGTTCTTCCTCCATGTGTGTATATTTTTTAGTGTTAAAGGGACGGTCGCTCAAACGTTTCTTCACCCACTGAGAACAGACTGAGATGTCCATTCTTACCAATGGACCATGTTTCTGCTTTGCTTTAAAAGAAGCTGCTAAAAGATGACAACATGTTCAATAATGATAATTATTCTATTCAAAACATACAATACATTGTTTGGGGGGGAGGTGGACACCACATTGACACGCTATCAACATTTAATGATCTGGCAAACCTATTAGCAAAAAAGAGCAACATGACCTTTCACCTTATCCAATATTTAATCTCCTTTTAGTTAATCTCTTCGGTCTCCGCCCCCTACGGAGGGACATATCTGACCCTTTAGCAACCAAACGCTCCACTGTGTTCGCCAGCTGGTCTGTTTACCGTACCAGTTGATTCACAGGGGGGGTTTAGGTCTCCACCCACTAAACACGGTGGCCTGCATGGTGTCAAAAGCCCCCTGAGACTTAACACAGACTTTAGTTGGGGGTCATAAATTCTAAAATGGTTAATCAAATGTGTGCACCGTCACTGACAGCAGCCAAACGTGGCCGAATATTTAAAAAATCAGCCAAGATTATACATTGTTATTGATTATCTGTTTCTGTTTCAATTCTTAGGCCACTGTGGCACATTTGGCCTTAAGATCCTGAGGCATCAGGCGCCTGACCTGAGCTTCACCTCAGCAGCACCTTCTGGTTTACAGTCAGTCAGGACCCTGGTGAAAGATGCACGAGACTTTGACATTATGTGCATGGGGAGGATTCGACGTGATGAAACTGACACGTTGTGACAGAAGGAGAGCGAGGGAAGAGAAAGATGAGGAGCCAAATGGATGGAGGCAAAAGAGGAGAGAATGAAAGGAGGACGAGTAAAGAGACAAATAGGAAGACAAGAGGGATTGTGATGGGAAACGTGAAATCAAACTGTCACCGGATGAAAGGCCGACGAGCAACGGGATTAAAATCGCGTCCTGCTTTGTGGCCGATGTTACACGCTGCACAGACGGTCAGAGAAAGTGACTTAACGCTGAGCCGCCAGCGAGGACGCAGAGGCTTCCTGTTGGCCACTAATGTGTCTCTAATGTGACGGATGCACAGAAAATGCAACAGAAAAATGATCATACAAATGTGTCTTTTTTCCATTTTCCATCACTCTAAGTTAACTATCTCGTTTCTATCTTGTTTTAATAGTTTAAATACATTCTATGTACCATAATACAAAACAAATTGTATACGCCTAAACTAGCTCAGTAAAAAATACATATGATGATTCATTATTAATCAATGATGTAGATGCAGCTTCACATTATTTATGGATCCACAAAAAGTATTTTATAAAAAGCAGAAATACTGATAAATAATATCCATACTGATGCATTCTTAATATCTCACGCTCATCCTCTCAAACCCACAGCAGCCATAAACACGGCTGTTTTAAATATTTGCCACTCAAAGGCTCCTTGCCGTGTGATTGAAAGAGGAGTAATGTGGGTAGCAGGGACCCCCTGGAGCAACACATGTAGTCACATGACGAGGAGTCAACGGGGAGGTCAGCAAACCACTACAGTGGAAATAAAAATAGCCTCGATGCAGCTGTACTCATTAAACAAGCCGAGCCGGGCGTGCAGAGGACAGATCATCTGGTGGCAAACCCAGAAGAACTTTGTTCTTCTCTAATGAGAAGACTTTCCCCTTCAGGTCACCGCTGACTCCCAGATGACAAACATTACAGCTCTAACTAAAACAACCTCGATGCTCGATTTCAGATATTCATCTGAAAACAATGAGAGATTGGTCACATGTAATCCCCAGAAGATATTGGTCCGGTTCGCCGTGGCTATAAAGTGCAAGACGCCGCTGCACTGATGCTTGAGCGAAGGAGCTCAGTGTGACAAACTGACATGAAACCACCTTCCTCCTCTGCTGAACAAACATGGGTCAGTCCTCCTGATGTGCGGCACCAAAACAGAGGCTGACTCATGTCATTAAAGGCACTCGCCTCCACAGCCTTCAAACAACACGCTCAGCGCCACCCGGTTTCCCGTGGTGACCGGGCTTTGTCGTCGGCGTGGATTGGAGTAGAGCGACATGAAAAGAGAAAAGTGACTGCGGCTCACTTTTCTCTTTCTCTTTTTAGTTCGAATTGTTATTTATTTTGATTTGTTTTAATGGTTTCCTCACGCAAAAAGAGCTGTGCGTGCTCAGTCAGCAAGATCAGTCAGAGCGCTTCATTAGTTCGTTAATTGGACGCGTACAAGATGCGTTGCATGCATTTTCTTTTTATGCAACAATCTGCTTTTCATATGTAAATACATCCCTCCTGTGATGTTGCAGAAAGGGCTGCATTAACACCAGGGGTGCAACAGAACAGAATTGTGTCTCGTTTAATTACGGCTGCAGGACGACTTCCTGCAACTGAGCCGCATGCTGATGAATCAGAAAGCGTCCCGTCGACTGGCCACGTCCGATTCCCGGAGCTGCTCTCCAGAGCAACAAGTGATGCCTGCTGCCCCTAAAATCGACTTCAAATGATCCCCCGCTGCCCTCCAGCAGCACGGAACGGGTGAAAAGGAGAGTTTCTGGCATCGTCGGCTCTGTGGGAAACTCCCGCGGCCTCGAGTGAGTGAGCGGCTCGGTAAGAAGAGGGTAGCAGACATTAGCATTCAGCGAGCGACGCACGGCGGCGCTGATCTGTCGGCTGACGGGAGGGATCGGATCTACGCTGAGCAACCTTAACATTCTGTGTCCGATGCCCCACATTAAGCACCCATCCATCACTTAACAGCCAATCAATCGTTTCAATCAAGACCAAAATGGCGTGCAAAATTTCATATTTCTAACCTGCAGTTCACTGCTCAGAGTGCCTCAATATTTTAATTTACCAAACAACTTGTGCTGGTATATTTTGCAGATTGAATAGTTAGTTGTGGAATGGAGATCAATAATGAGTCCAGATGACACTTTGAGGCCCAATTGTCTGATGGTACTAAGCCAGAAGAAGCTTTTGGGATATACACCAATTTGCTTTCTTGCGAGTGTGTTAGATGGACTCTCATATCTGCACTCCCACACGACACGGAGACTGGACGGCTCTGTCCTCATAGAATCTAAATGTGAGTTGCATCAAAACGTGTTTTTCAGTGGTTTATGAGGCACCTCAGATCTTAATATATCATTTATGTGGAGAAAAGATCACAAAAAGTGTTTGAATGCACAAGCGTGCTCACATGAAGACATGCACAGGCTGCGTTTCTCAAACCACCTACACGTGGGAAACCCTGATTCTACAGAGCGTCCAAGCGTGAAATTGGATGGTGTACAGCACAAATGTATCTCTCCCTCCGCCTCCACCTCCTCTGCTGTTGACACCCGTTTACTTATATCCCCCCATTCAATGTGTTGAAGACAAAATGTTGTAGCCTAAATCACCGGAATCCAGTTTCACGCAAGTGCATTTAAATCTTATAAATGCATTGAGGAAATCTTCAAAATGAGTTGCTGAAACATCTTAAAATGTAGAAAAAACACAACATAACACTAATATTTATGTTCAGTTGTGTCCTCAAGTAGCAAACGCTCCGTTCAGAAGCCACCCGATGTCCAAAATACCTCATTCATCCCAAATATTGTTAATCTTGGTCGCCCACCTTCAGTTTGTGTTCGTGCTCCTTGTTTACTCGAGCCAACAGCTGGGCCTTGCGCCGGTTCAGGGCGTCGATGAGGGCGTCGCACTGCGCCACCAAACAGGCTTCAAACTCCACTCCGTTCTCCTGCAACACAACAGGCACAGGCTGAAAAGAATAACGCATCTAATAGGCAGAATGTAAATGTATAGCGTACAGTTTGCGAGCAGAGGTGAACCTCTCCCTCAACGCAATGTAATAGCAGCACGCTGAGATTAATAGAGATTTACAGGTCATTCAATGCATCTTTATTCACGCGTTGTCCTCCATTAGCTCGTCATCGAGCGCGGTGAAATCCCGGTGAAGCATAGTGACGTAGAGACCATCCCCCCCCACCCACCCCCCCATCCTCCGCCTGCGCTGTCCTGCATCTCCCACCAAGCCTCGTCTGACTGTCGATAATCAACGAGGGCTTTTAATCCCTCCTCCCTCCTCTAATCGGCGCCTGAAGCTGACGGCATGCAGCTTTCGTCCTCACACACGGCAGGAGGTTGTCAGGCATGTTGATCTATATTCCTGGTCAATGTATTGTGCTTACACTAAGTACTGTACGTGTGACGCCACTAAATGCACACTCAAGTCCAAACATCCTCGCTCACACCTCCCAGAGGAGCGAAACCCGCAGCCGAGAAATGCCCCGCTGCTGTTACTATGGTGATACATCACTTCATTGATTAAAGAGTTCTTTTCATCCCCACTGACAGACTCTGCATACTAAATCGTTTTCACCATAAAAACATTTAGTGCAACTTTATAATTGATGCTTCATGAACACATCGATAAATAATTGATCACCAAACCGGTTCATTTGTTATAAATCCACATAAAAACGACCGACTGTAGATGTAAATATGGTCATTCTCCACATGTTGTTTGCAGCACTATTGATGGACACTGACTAAATACAATAAGTCTTTTTGTTTCTGTTGATTACTGCAGCAGGTTGGGATCACATGGGGGGGTAATAAAGGTCCCGGGGGTCATGGAGCCCCTGTCGTCTGCATGTGTTTGTGTGTATTGAAGTACCTGGATGTGTTGCACCATGTTTCTCAGCTGGATGAGGAACTCTTTGGCCTCGGTGGCTCGGTCTGACAGGCCGTTGAGGGCTTGAGACAGCTGACCCTGCAGAGAGCATGGAGAGAGATTATACGAGTTATACGGGTCTGTACTGCATTTACATCATCATAAATCAACACACTTTACATAAAAATAGGTGATGAATCCTCAGAAACCAACATGATAAAACATAAAAGTCACAATAGTGTTTGTCAGGCTATGTGACGTGCGGCCGTAGGAATACAGCCAACAGGAAGTTACATTTTCAGTTAATAACAAATGAACTCTAATTACTTTCTTATTATATTATTATTGAAAAACAAGAATTATCTAAAGTGTGTTTATTAACTCTTCTTGCAGTCAGGTTCATATTAAAAAACGGAATCTAATGAAAAGTATTACATATGTTCAAAAGACTATTAATTACATTAGTCATTCAAGATAATAATCTAAAAATAAATTGATAAAATGCTGAATGATTGCAGCCACAGTCTTTATTAGCAACCCTTCGTACGTGGTGATGAAGGTTTTTGTAGTTCGGACTATTTGACTGTTAAGAGTTTAAGATCTCCCAAATGAATCCTCCATCTTGTATCATGCATGTTTAAGAAATAGTTATCAAACAGGACCTTTGGAGGAAAGACACGTGGAGGCAGCACAGTCGGGCCTTTAAAGCCGCTTAAGTTATCGTCGAAGCAGATTCCCAGACCAATGGGGCCGGTTAACTTTAAAATGTATAAACAACTTCCATACAGCCACTATGCTGTGAAGATCTTGCCAGTTTCTTGAAGTTTTGGGTGAACTCAAATTCACAGACAAAGCTGCTTTTCTTTCAACATTTCTAAGAGTCCAACTTTTCCCCCCTGAGACACAATGGACTCTAAGCTTCATTCTCACACACAAAATGACATTTCCAGCTGAAGCTAAGATGATTTATGTACAACAAAGCTCTTGACTTGTGAACTGTTTTATTATTGGATTTTAGTCCCTGGTCATGTGGACGGGAGCTCTGCGCATGTGACGGGAAATACAGATTCTTTGCACGAGTGCAATGACACACAAATGCTCATGTGTGGATAGCGGGGAAAAGAGAGAGTGCGTTTGTGTACGTGAAGCGTGGTTGTGTGAACAAAGGGGCGCCGGAGCGAGAGGACGCGGCCTGACCCTGTGGGAACCACGTATGCTTGAGTTAACAACCGTCAACTTGGGGAGGGTATTGTCTCCTGAAGAGGGAAAGAGGGTCCCGGATCTCTCTCCCACTCTGGAAAAGAGCAATACAGCCTGGAAGTAGCTGATACAGTGAAAAACGCTGCGAAAACAACTGTGTCAATGCCGCTCTGACTGGTCAAACGGGAATCTGTCTGCAGGGGACCAACAGCTGACCTTTGACCTTGGAGTTTGGGAAGCCGTGACAGCTGCCGCTAACATGAGTCTGCTGCACCAAAGGGACCGGCGGGGGCCGGTCACAGCTGAGCAAAGACCGAAATGTAAACTTTTCAGTATCAAACTTCCTCTTTGTTAACTTGGGACTATTTCAACATCTCCAGAGACGCGTTCTGAAGATAGTTTGTTTGGCATAAGAAAGTCTCCAAAAGCCTTATGTACATACTTCAGAGGACAAACTGGCTTTTAAGGAGTGGCATTTTTAAAGCTGCATCTGATCTTCCTTATAAAATAATGCAAAGGGGAAAATAATGATGGAAAATGTTTGCCACAAGTTCTGGAGCTCAGGTGTCTTTTAATTTCTTATGGAGTTTGACCAACCTTGTAAAACTAAAAGGCATTCAGTTTAAAGAAAGATAAAACTGATCGATGAAGCAGAAATGTTTCACTGTGTGCTTATTTGTTCCCTTAACGAAAAAGCGACTTAGGGACTTTTTTGGAGAAGCAGACATAATAAATGCAGACAAACTGAGATGTGATAATGTGAGCCGGGTTAAACGTCTGCCTGTTTTCAGTCTTTGTGCTAAGCTACGCTAACTGGCTGCAGGCTTCATATTTAAATTAAAGAGTGGCAACTATCTTCTCATCTAACCTCTGGCAACCAGGCAAATAAGTGCATTTTTCAAAACATCCCACTATTCTTTAAAGGTATTTCTATTTTACTTAAGTTGATGAACGGAAGGTGAATGGAAGGCATTTTAAAAGCACACAGGTCGCATCCTTGTTGGCTCCCGGTCGGCCTCGTCTTCTCTAATAAGTCTACTCCTGATTCTCCATTTCACTTTATTATTCTACCATCCGGCCGATAAAAATCAAGCCATCCAAAACGTTCCCTCAGACTCCGGCGGTTTCATTACATCAGCCGAGTCACTCACACCTGCCCTCTTAGTCCTAAATTGGAGTTCATTTTCTCATTCAGCGTTCTCATTTTCCTCTCTGTGATACAGCGATGGACGTCAAGGGAGCTCCGGGCCTCGCGCCGCCCAGTCAGCAGTCAGCTTACGCGCCGGGACCGAGCCGATGAAATGAAAAAGCTCTCGATTGTCTGGAGGCGTTTTTCCAGATCTGTTTGAGATCCTGCGGAGCTCCGTCCTCAAAACCCGGCCAATCTGTGCCGTGAAGACAGAGGCTGTTTTGTTTCTGCACAGCTTGCGGCTACTTCTCGCCTGGAGGAGACAACGGGGCCACGGCCAGCAGGTCAGCACATGGGAAGACAGACCCCAGCAACAAATGGGATTCAAATCTGCATGGAATAAACAGCAAAAGCTTCACGCTTTGACTGATTTGACAATTCACCTCAACTAGAAAATCAAGCTCCTCCTTACTCCTCCATTAAAACTGCATTTCTAGTGTACAGTTCAAGGAATAATACTTTTATTTATCTCTTATTATAGCGTTCTTGTATTTATGTCTAACATACATACGTCTGAGTATTGGGAGCTGAGGTAAAGGAGGTGATGGCAGATCGATCGCAAAGTCCGACCTCCGCTTTGAGGGAAGTCAATGCGTAATACAAAATCAGATTCCCCCACCAGCTGTTGTGGTTCTGCAAAAAAGACGTCCTATTTTATGGAGGAATTGACCCTACTACTGAATGATGTTTATTTAGGAAATGATGGTTCATTTTGGACTAAAATGGACCATATTGCGGAGTCCGTTTAGGGCGGCTTTATTGTGTTGGCCATAATCCAAGATGGCACCTGTCAAATAGACGAAATAGGGGCAAAGGGGCATCAATCCAAAGCACATTCAAGCCTGTTGAGGGACGTTCAAACTAAGAGCATCGTGCAACATTGGGCTGTAAGTTGGATGCTGGAATGTTTGCAATGAGCTGTGGAGGATGCGTTGGGGGGGGGGGGGGGGGGTTCGAGATGTCGCTGCTATTTGGGAGCACTAATCATCCCAGTAATTAATCCAAGTGGGAGCACATGCATGGCATGAATAATTTACCAGCGCCTCCAGGGCCATTCGGCGTGTTTCCATTTTCTCTCTGCAGCCGAGCGAACTCACCAATCTGTCCCAGGAAAGCGCGGATGTCAGAGAGGCATCATAGCCAATTTGGATTAAAGCCCCCACTAGGAAGTGGGAAGTGTGGAGAGAGAGAGAGAGAGAGAGAGAGAGAGAGAGAGAGAGAGAGAGAGAGGGAGAGAGAGAGGGAGGTGTAATGTCACTGCTAAGCTCTTAAAGCTGCAGCGGAGGAAAAGCATCGCTCCTCAAGCTAATTAAAAAACATATATATATAAATATATATCAAATGTGTCCACGGCAAAAAGAGACACTGAGAGTTCCCATAACCTACTTTCAAAACTCTTGAGTTACCTGGTTTTAATGTTTTAAGCACCCTGCTCTTTTGTTAAAGGCTTTCTCGCGCCTCTTCAGCCTCGTTTGATCCCGCGTGCAGCCTTTGGGGGCCGTGAACGCCGCGAACCGGCGCCCACGGAGGCCGAGGTCAACGTCTGGTGACAGAAGGAATCAAACACACTCAAACGCTGCGATCAAATAAAACTCAAATGTTAATTAGCACGGCTTGATAACTTGTTTTGTTTGCCCTCCAGTTACGAGTAACCAGAGACTCCAACATGAAAGGTTGCGCTTGTTTACACACTGCCGCTGCCCTCAGAGAACACAGTTTGAAATATTAAGCAGGCGACTGACTGTTGTTAAAAAGTTAAGCTCTTGCTTCCTCCAACTTGCTGGAAGTTACGATTCGGGCGGATTCTGACACGCCGCCGTGTTTAACAAGTTCCCAAGTGAAACCCGTCTTACACAAGCAGAACCTAAGTGGCCGGTGCATTATTCATCGCTTAAATCTGCCGTCATCAATAATGCAGGAGGAGCCGTTAACTATCCCCACACGCACACATCGGAGAAGCCACTGAAACGAGGGTATTTGAAAGTTTTTTTTCATGTCAGAGACAAGAGTCCTTATTCTGCGGACGCTCGGGACGGCGCAGCAGGATGTGGGGCAGCGGGGATCTATTCTCGTCGCCAACCGGATTCATTCAGAAGCGTCTCCTGCAGACCGCTTGCTTGTCTGTACACGCTGATCTCGTCTCAAAACAGAATAAATTGAGTAGGGAGAAAGATTATAGTGTGTGTTGGTAGACGTGTGGGAGAGGAAGAGGGAGGACGACCTACAGGTCAGTCTCCTCCTCTTTGAACGGAGCCTTTATTTAGTGGAAACAACAATCCTGGGCGGCGGTTTTGCGTCGCTCATCTGTTGATTGATAGAGTTTTAGTAATGTTATGTTTTTTTTTGACAAACATCATTTTAAAACTCAACATTTGGGCTTTACACCTTTTCATTTCTGTAATCCTCGTCATGAATCCATTAAACGTTTGTGCTTATTTGGTCTGCTGGGGAGGACATTACATTATGCTTTTACATTATTACGTCCTCTGTCTCCCACACAGCTAGACCCGGTTTTTAATGGAGGCTGCTTTGAATCACACACGGTCAGACTAGATGGATGATAAAGAGGAGAGGACCAGTTATTGCCTTGTTTTAGTGGTGATACGTTGTGTTAAAAACAGGTGCAACAGGAGCCGTCGATGACGTGCTGTATGTTCGTGCCCACGCAGATCAGAGAAAAGGTCTAATCAGGCAACATAAGTGAAAACAC